TAGTGAATTTTTGAGATACTACGACCCATATTCTTTTGGCCGGCAGCTCGGAATTTTCTGGACATAAGGATATCCATAATTAAATTTGATTATTTGTTTTTATGCCTGAAATGGAAATTTAATAAAAAAATTCCCTGTAAAGCCACAAAGGCGGAGGATTTCCAAATAAGATAGTTGCGTGACGTTGTCACGCAAAACAAAAACGAATATCATATTGCATTTAGTAAATTTATAAGTTGTAACAGTATTGAATGGCGACGCATAAGATTATATATAGCGTGACATGATCAGAAAGCTTTAAAGCAAACATTCGTTTTACTTGTCAGGATATGTATGTGACCATGCCACTATGGAATGATTGTGTCAATGAGAGAAAATACTAGAGTAACAAATGGCGTAAACGCTTCCCTTAAACCATCCCTCTGTAAAAAATGTATAAAAAGACCATTAGTTCTAGAAGAAAAAGAGGTAATAGTCATAGCTTTGGTAAATTATAAAGACAATGTCCTTATGTAATTTACTCAACTCAACCTTAAACCGACTAATTGTTCCCGTCTTTGAATCGTTGAGTAATGTTACACCTTTCTTTCGCTGTGTGTGTGTTGTCAATTTTACCTCTGATAAATGATATATACTCAAAAATGTTTTTTTTTTGTTATTTTGAGATAAAATAATGGATTCATAATTAAACATGATGAATATGCGTTATCCATGTTAGAAATATTGCAAAGTTTAAAGAAAAAAATTTCTACCTATTACTATATTATATGTGACAGTAGTATTAATCAAATATCGTCATGATATATTTAACGTTAAATAAATTTATTAAATGTTTAATGTCGCAAATAATTATTTTGGTGACTATAGTAGGTATGTCGTATTCGTGAAATGTTCAATATCACTCCGTTCCTGGTATATACATTCATTAAATATTTGTGAATTTGTTGCATATGGAAAGTAGCTACTTTAGATGGGTTGCTACTTTATATCCAACAAATTCACATATAAAATCTGGATATTCATTCAATTTCACTCGTGGATGACTAAAATCCGTGAATATTTAATGGGTAGTCGCAACGGGTACTAAATTATTCCATTACTACTTCTTGCAAGTCTTTTTGTATCAAATTTATCTTAAAAATTTTAGCTAAACTCGCTTAATAACTAAATTTATAGCAATTAATTTATGTTTATTTATTATATCCACTTTGTGTCAAGATCGTTTAAAATATAAGTCGAAGTAAATTTATAAAATCTATAAAACAATAATTTTCCTTCTAGATACTGTAAACAATTTGTGCAGTATTAGTACGTAAAAAAAATTTGTCATAATCAATTAGCTTACATAATACGCATAATACATGTGTATATCAATCAAATTGCTACATCTCAGTTCTTTGTTAATACGTATATAGAAAAATAAGAAATTGTTTCATATGCTGTTTATCTCTAGTTATAATGTTCGATTTGGTTAAGTTAATTATCTAATATTTATATTTAATATTTTAATTGTATCGTCATGTTAATAACATTGTTCACTATAAATTTCGTCACTATAACATCTTCGGAACAATACAGTAGTTATTTTAAGCACTACATATAACGACCATCTTTATAAACTACAGATAAGTGTGCTTCACGAGCATTTTCACTCATAGGCGTTCCCATTGCTATAATAGGTTTTTGAGATCGTTTTTTATAAATCCGAAATCCAATTATAACAAACAATCCAATTAAAATAAGCCCACCTACACCAATACCAATCTCAATAAATAAATTATCATTATTTTGTTGAATACTTGTCTGTTGGCTTGGTGTTGTAATTGTTGGAAGTATATCTAGATTTGCTGAAGTAATCCAGGTGTAATTTCGTGTGTCCATAATGTAAATATTATTAGTAAATATCAACGGTGTTGCTGTAACTTGGCCTGAAGATGTGAAGGTTAAATAAATTTATTAAATTCAATAGCTCTCAACATAAATAAATTATACCAAGGTAATTACCAAATGCAATAATCATATAATTTTTGTATATTGCAACAGAATGTAATGCGAGTGGTGGTGGAGTATTAGTATTGGCTCCAGAAACGATCGGAATAGACCACTTCCAGGTATTTGTATTTAATATTGCAAGATCTGAAAATATATTATTGAAGGAGCCATTATTTAACGTGCCACCACCATATAGGATAATGTCTCCATCCTGGGCTGATAAAAAATAATAATGCTTAGTAAAAAATATAAATCTACAATCTTGTAAAGATACTATTATTTCAATTTACTTAAAATTGTAGAATGTCCAACACGAGATAATATAGTAGAGCCACTAGCAGTCTAATAAGGATAAAAAAAGTTAGGCTTAATAATTAACAATAGTAAAAAATTAATTATATACATTACATTAGTAGACCAGGTGTAAGATTTTGTATTAAATATTAGAATCTGCATTTAATTATCATTAATTGAAGGTAAAGCTTTAAATGTTTAAACTCAAAGAAAAATTATTACTATCCGAATCTGGTTCTAATCAACTCACGGACAATCACTTAATAGACACCACATTTTACCGCAAGTTCATTTCACGACAGTTTATTTCACCGAAGCTCATTTCACAGACAAAGTAGTTTTAGCCATTCTTGTTAGGGTCAGGTTAGAATTAGAATTAAAGTTAATGCAATTTATAAAAAAAAAAACTTGTCGTTGAAATGAGCTTCGGTGAAATAACCTGTCAGCAAAATGAACTTGTCAGTGAATAATTATCGTTAAAATGTAGTGTCTATGAAGTGATTCTTGGTGAAATCATACTGATCCAGCTAAATCATATCTGATTCATATTAACAAAGCTACCATCATTTTCGCGCCCACCAATGTAAATAATAAGACCATTTGATAATAATGTAGCAGTATAATCAATATAAGGAGAGATTTGGGGTTGAAGTTGAGTTGACCAAGTCATAGTAGTGATATCAAGTATGCTCATATCATTATAAAAACCGGAAATATTGTAATTTTTTCCTCCAAAAATAAAAATCTTTCCACTATTATCAATGATAGCTTGAAATTCATCACGTTCTGCAAAGCTAGAATTAAAATTACTAATAGTTGGTGTTATCCATTGTGAAGTCTTAGAATTAAATACGTATACTGATGATACATATACATAAGTTGCAGTATTTGGTTTATATGTCCTTCCACCAACTAAAAAAACAGTAAAATTATCGATAGGACTAAGACATGAACCGCCGAAATCATATCCTACTGACATTCTGATATCATTATGCCATGGTGGTGTAGTTATGTTAAATGAACTTGATAGGTCAAGATACCAAACTTCATTAGATATTAAATTAGATGTAATTTCACCGCCGAAGAAATAAAGCTTAGTACCAACTAATGTGCTAGTTTGCCGACTTCTGGCGTCAGGAATATTCTGGCAAATAACAAAACAACATACTGAGCCAAATATGATAAAGATAAGAAGGTTGTAAAAAAAATTCATATTAAATAATTTTTATAGTTGCGTAAATTGCCATTAGACTTTTAAGAAATACGTACCTACTGTACGTACGTATGTAGAAACTGAATTTTATATCTAATAACACGTAGCAACGAATGTCGTGCTTGAAGTTGTGTTACGTTTGGTTCGGATTATAGTGTTATGTATCTAATTCATTCAGAGAATGCATTTGCTTAGCACTGTCGTATTGTATTCATCTTTCTTTTAAAGATAACATCTGCGTAATGAGATAGCATCAGTGCTTGCAATTTTTACTTGGAATGTTTGCTCTTTTATTATTAGATTATTGATCATTGGACTACAAGGTTACACATATTATATACAGTGCAGGTGTTGTTTGCCTGAATTGGAAATTTAATAAAAAAATTCCATAATTTCTTAAATTATATTCCCTTTTTTGTAATTACTGAATCTGTAAAGCCACAAAGGCGGGGATTTCCAAATAAGATACTTGTGCGATGTTGTCATGCAAAACCAGGAACTGGAGTATCGGCATTGCAGTTGGGTATCGGTATTGCATTTGGTAAATTTATAGGTTGTCGCAGTATTGAATGGTGACGCAGATCCCGAAGGACAAATAAATTTTTAGGATTATATATAGCGTGATCAAAAAGATTCAAAGCAAAGGTTCGTTTATCAAAAATTTACCAAATAAAAAAAAATTTCCAAAGATTCACCATCTTGTAATTTTAACTTAAATTCGAATGTTATTCTATTGTGAGCCCGATTTTTTGTAAATCACGGGTGCCCGAATCGAAGCGACGATCCTTACCCGATCCAAGGTCACGCG